GCCGACTAACCTCTCACGAACAACATTTCCGAGTTGTTCTTGATCGTCTATAAAGCACCATATTAGTTCCCTATCCCTCACCTGTCTACTATATTATCCATCGTAGCACATACCTTAACACTATCATCATCCTCGTCATCGTTCACCACATAGATGGTCTCCTCGACCTCACCGAGCACAAGGTTGCAATGTGAATCATAAGCCTGCCCATAAATCGCACAATTAGTTCTCATTCGTATCACTTCTGAGGTAGGGCCGTACATGTAGTCTCCCCCGCAGCTCCCGGTCTCCTCGCAACTTGACGAAAACGTGTTCGTCAAGTGACAGGCGAACAAGATCGAGGGGTTCCTGGATTGGGTTGCTATCGTCGGCGTCGGACATGGTGATTTTGGCTCTGGTATGGGTATGGGTAGTAGGTGAATTGGAAGCCTTTTGGTCTCCTCGGTGATAGTGGGGCAGGCAGGCAGTCCCGAAATGGTAAGGCGCCCTGAGGCTCGCGGATTGCTGACATAAGACAGCCTGCTGACAAGGGCATTGTCACACAGCCTGTTCAAGGTGTCTTCTGTAGATTGAGAAATCGCGACTTCCTGTCGTCTCGTGAGCTAGATACAGACAGCACTTCACAAAACATCAATTCTACAACCAAATCTACCACCAATCCAGAAACCATGCTGTGCGCAAGTAAGCTATCCCAACTCAATTAAATTCTCCCAAATTCTGCCATTAGCTAACAATCTCTTCCAGTCTCCGGAGAAGCGCCGTCCGTCCCAGTCGCGTCGACAAAGTCCGGCGTCGTCTTTGAAAAACGCCTAATCGAAGCCTACATCGCCGAACACGGCAAAGACCCCGTTACCGGCGAAGACCTGACTACTGCGGACCTCGTCGAGCTGAAATGTAAACCCCTTACCCCTCTAATAAACTTAGCGAAGACCTTATTTACTCACCCTCATATAGCCTCCCGAACTGTCCGTCCGCGCCCGCCAACACTCACTAGCATCCCATCTCTCCTAGCAACCTTCCAGAATGAATGGGACGCCCTTGCACTCGAGACACATACGCTGCGGCAACAGCTGACCCAAACGAGGCAGGAGCTCTCGACGGCGCTGTATCAACATGATGCTGCGACAAGGGTTATTGCAAGGCTGTTGAAGGAAAGAGACGAGGCTAGGGACGCTCTGAGTAAGATTAGTATTGGGGCAGGAAGTGGACCGGCGGCACCAGTGGCAGCTGGTGGTGCCGACGCGATGGAAGTTGATGATGCGGGGGTGGTACCACAGAGTGTACAAGATTTGGTGGATGAGACGGCAAAAGTGTACGTTTCTCTCCGTTGGCATTGTTGGAAGTGGGAGACTAATGGTGGTGTAGTAAATCCGGTGGAAGAAGAAAACGTGCCGTTCCTGCAGACTGGACAACAGCAGAGTCAGTATCAGGTTTCTCGACTCTCTTTGTCTCGGAGCCATTGTACCCCGGGTGCAACTCTATCGACCTCGATGTATCTGGCGAGCTTGCGCTTCTTGGTGGCTTAGACGGCGTGGCAGGGATCTACTCAATCCCGCAGCAGTCACTGCTGAGCCCACTGAAGAGCGACGACGGGGCAGTTGTGGATGCGCTGTGGGCGGGTAAGAAGGCCATCACTGGGCACTCTTCGGGTGTAGTTAGGGTATGGGACGAGGCGGGCAACGGGAGCACCACAATGCGGACCCATGCCGGTGAAGTTAAGGCGCTGGCATTGCACCCCAGTGAGCGCATTCTTGGAAGCGTGGGTGCGGACAAGAGCTGGGTGCTTTATGATATTGAGGCGGGGAAGAAGGTCGTGCAGATCTACGGCGAGTCTGGTATGTCATTCCCATGCTTTTACGTCTAATATTTTGTAAGCTGTCTTATTAACACACCGCAGAACTAACATCCGCGCATTTCCATCCCGACGGTCGTCTCTTCGCAACTGGCACTGGTAACGCCGTCAACATCTACGACGTACGCACCGCCACTCTTGGCGCCACCTTCGGACCCCTCACCGGTCCAGTTTCCTCCCTCCACTTCTCAGAGAACGGATACTGGCTTGCCCTCTCCGTGAAAGAACAGTCATCAGTTGAGATCTGGGATCTTCGCGAGCTGACACAGACAAAGGCGATTGATGTGGGGACCCGAGTTGACAATGTCCGCTGGGACTACACTGGGCAGTTTATTGCCACGGCGGGACCAAGCGGAGTTAGCGTGCAACAGTACCAGAAGAAGGGAAAGACTTGGAGCGAGCCCTTGAGGGTCGGCGTGCCTGCTGTGGCCACGGCGTGGGGACCAAGGGCGGGAAGCCTGGTCACGGTTAATAAAGAGGGTATTATCACGGTTTTGGGAGCGAAATAAAGTTAGAATAACATTTTATGGCGGCAGCAAAAGTGTCTTCTTTTTTTCTTCTTTTTCTTTTTCTGTATTGTTTTTAGCTTCTTCCCAGTCTTAGATAATTTGAAGGATCGTGGAATGTGTTGTCATTGCGGACGCTTGGATGAGAGTTGTGTGGAAATGGCCCATGAGGTTCTGGACCGGTGATATCTATATCCAGTTATTGCATAACGCAAAGTATCCCAAAGAATTACGGACTTGGGTCCCTAAAATGACAAATCTAAAACCCGAGAAAGACTATTATAGTCGTGGTAGGTGTTGTAGTAGTACTTGAAACTAGTATTATTCATGTTTATCGACTTTGGACCCACAACAAGCTTCTCCCAGTGAGGTATCACAGCATTCAATCTCTTTTTGTAGTTTGTGGACATCCCTAAATAAGATAACAAATGCAATGCTGTCGTTTTTTTTGTTGCTATTTGCTCCTAAGCATCACCAATGCATAAACTGGGAAATCATTAGAAAGGTAATTTTATGGTAGTTGTTGCAACTACATTAGTCCATGACTGAATGCTTTTGTAGGTAATGTGAGTATTCAATTTCTGGTCCGCAAACTCCTACTATACTGAAGTACCACAACATCCGATTTCCCTTTGCAGTTTGTAAGCGTCTCTGGTTAAGGTCATACCGATAGTGTTTTCTCGCTTTTCGCACTCAGAGACAAAACGAAACAAAACGAGAGGGTGGATTTCAAGGTTTGGAGGAGCTGGTCTCGAGACCTCAACTAGGAAAGCTACGCCTTCTCATGCCGTGCTCACGGCTGCTAAACCAATTGAAAGATCGGGGTCCAAAAATTTTAATCTGATATCTCCGCTGCGGAATGGTGGTAAACCGGTCTTTCTCGAGACAGTGTCGAGATGGTCTCGTGCCCGTCACCATTCGCGCCGTTAGCTACAGGTACCTACGTCGTGGCCGTTCAATTGTCTACCATCAATATATAATGGTTGATATGCTCAATTGTCCCGTAAAAGAAAAGACGTGTTCGTGAAGCTGCTCATGTGTTGTTTGTAGCTCCCCGCTGGCTCATGATCACGCCTTGTCCCACCAAACAAACCCACAACTCCACGAAGCTGCAAACCCCAGCCCCCTACATAATAATAAATAATATACTACTATGCCTACCAAGATTGAAATTTGAATCTACTCTACATATCTTCTTCCCCTTCCAGCAGGGACCAGATCGGACGTAGGTACAGGCCACGTTTACGGCTGCACGACATTGATATTCTTTTTTTTATTATTGTAATTACGGCCTGCGATTGGCCCGTTGGCTAGTTTGGGAGTAGGGTTGCGGAGGGGAAAAAAAAAAGAAAATGCGATTCATGGAAGGGATGTAGATCTAGTGGATCGGTGGAGGGGGGGGGGGGGGGGGGAGGATTGTTGTCGGTATCAGGTGTGCGTGCTCCTTGCCTTGGTTCCTGTCCTGTCCTGTCCTGTTTGGATTGATGCTCGAGGAGGGTTGGGATTCGATCTTCAGCTAGAGGGGGAGATTGGGGATGGGGATGGAGAGATGTTGAGTAGCTGGATGGATCGGTATATGCAGTATCTAGGTAATATTTTTTTTTCCTTTTTGGTCTTTACCTACCTCGACGATTGACTTTTTGGGAGTGTTGTTTAGGACAGCAGTGGTTAGTGTAAGATGGTTACTGTAGTTACTTGGTGTGGTTCAGGGACTCTGCGTGGGTAGTTACAACAACAAGTAGCTTTAGAAGAGAGGCTCTGCTGGGGGGAGGAAAATCAAGACTACGAGGATCCTTTAAAGTGGAATTGGGTAAATTATGGTGGTGCAGAGTACGTGTGTATGTGAGTATGACCAAAAGGGTTCTCACGGCACCATCATCATCACACGACTTCACTTCTATAAAAGCGCTCAAGGGAGAGATTTTTTTTCCTGCTCTGGTGTTATTGGGGTTGTTTAGTGGGTTAAGCATACTGATAGGTTTCTTAAGAGCTGGCTGCAGAACGACGTGGGCCGAGATCTTCGGGGAGGATTTGCCTTGGCAGTCCGAAAGGAAGTAAGAAAGAAAAAAAAGGAAAGAAAAAAAATGAGGGCGGTAGTAGCGTGTGAGAGGAGTGTGTGAGAGTGTGAAGGGGAGAAAGAAGGAAGCCTGGGGCTGGCTGGCGGGCTTGCGGGCTAGGCTTAGGAGGAACGAAAGGAAGGGGACCCATAACCACAATTCCGACCTCCTCGTGGGTCTCTCCTTACTAAGTGATGTATGTGCGTGTGTGTGCGCTCACCAGCCGAGTCGTCGGCCATCTCACAGACTGACTGATTGACTGAGGTTGAACAACGATGAACGAACGACGTCCCTCCTTTCTATCTTGCTAATCGTCTGTCCCTTCCACCACCTACCCCCCTCCACCTTTCACACCCCCCCACCAACAACTACAACCTTTGCCCCTCCTCTTCCTCTCTTCCCTTCTTATTCTTCTCACTTACCCTCCTGTCCTTCACGTCCTCAAACTCTCTTCACCTACACCCCCACCCCCACCCCCCCCCAACCCCAACCTCATCCGTTGATACAATAGAAGGCACTCTTCTTTGTATCTTCTGGAAACTACAATCTCCTACGATCATCTAGGCTCTCTCCTCGAATTCTAAAATGTCGGATCAAGGTTATCGCTACCCTCGCCCTTACCACTACGACAACGATGGGCCAGGACCTAGTCGACCTTCAAAGGTTCGTCTTGCTTCTGTTTTTCTCTTGCCTTGCCTCTTCGCTGCTGTAGTATAATATTAAATCAATTTTTCTTCCCTTGCTATTTCTAGCGCCCACGGGACCAAATGAGTATGGCAAGATTGAACAACGCATCGAACCCTTCTTCCTCTATCGCCGCCGCCGCCCCCGGCCCAAGTTTGATTCTCCCCACTAGGAACGGAACCTGGAACAATAACACCACCAGTAATAACAACAATAACAACATTAATAATAACAACAATAGCAACGGAGGGGGCAGTAGAAGTCGAGTATCCCCCGCCCGCTCGTCTTCGTCCTCGCAGACGCTCTCCAATGGTCACACAGTGATCGACCTCACCAACTCCCCTCCCCCACCACAACAAGAAATGTTCGGGCCCAGAGGTAGAGGCCGCTCAAATGGAAGTCGCGGACCATCTAGCAGTGGTAGTAACAACAGTATAGAGGTTATCGACGTCGATGCGCTTCCGGATACTCCGGCTTTGCCACCCCGCTGGCCGGGTGGTAATGTACCGGAGTTTAGATTTTCCCGAAACGCAGCGAATAGACTTTTAGGTGGTGGGCCTTCCTTCGCTAGTCGTACGCTGCAACAGCATCGTCATCACAACCATGGGTCTGGCTCTCGGCCAGTCCCAGTTGAGCCAAACCTCATATACCCTCGCATCGATCGTATGGATGCTAATGCTGCTGCTTTCCCAGTGTTCGCAGAGGAAATGGAGGGCCCAGTATTAGGTCACGGTGGCAGGATCGGGCAAGGATTACCGGATGTGAATATGAATATGGGGGGAATTGGAAACTTTTTACCGCGTTTCCGATCTGGGCCTCAGGGAGGTCAGCAAGGGGTACATGGAGGGATCGATGTCATATCGAGCATTTGGACTTCTTTTGGGTCAAGGGGAATGTGGGGGCACGAGGGTCCACTCGCGGGATTTCAAGCTCCAGACATGGATTATAGCCAGAGAGCGCCGGGAATCATTAGGGAGGACTCACCGGTTGATGCTGCCAGAGCAAGGAATATAGACTACAAGTCCCCACCGCCAGCTAGGGAAGGGTACACTAGGAGTCCAAAGGAGGACGACATTCTTGTTTGCTCAAGCTGCTCGTCGGAATTGGGTGCGCCTGGGGAAGGGCCATATGCGCAGGAGGTCTGGGCCTCTAAATGTGGACACGTAAGTCATGGCTTTGCCTTATCATATACTCGCGCGCTTTAGTCTAATATTTTGAAACAGAGTTATTGTGGCACATGTGTTTCTATATTCCGAACACCACACCTATCAAAAACGTCAAAGAAGACGGTGAGGCCAAAGGCGAAGAATTGTTCAGTGGGCTGTAAGGTCAACTTGGCGACGAAAACAGCAATGTTCAAGATTCACTTGTGATCTATGTTGAAGACTCAATTGTGATTACGGTGTCGTCTATAGATTGGCGAGCCGAGTATATTTTTTATTACCTTTCTTTTTTCTTTTCATAACTCTAATTGGGAAATGGGAGGCTATTTACTTACTGCTCTTGGGTGTCAACAATACACTGCATTACTTTCTCCTTATCTTTTTCTCTTATGTTGGGTTCGGCTAGGGTGTGGAAAAAACGGGCATGCATGGGTTTTTCTTTCTCTCTCTGGTCATAGTTTCTTTTACCCCACTCATCGACTTTTCTCCCACTTCTAACTTGGGATTGGTAGTATCGCTACTGTTTTTCATTCCCTCTTCGGTTTCATGCAATCGTTTCGCATGCCCATACGCATCCCCGTGCTCATAGCAACTCCAGGGTTTTCTCATTTTTTCGGTCATATTTGGTCGGGTGTTTTTTTGAGTTTTCCCTATGTATATTTTTTGTGTTCCTGTGTGAATAAATGGTTTCACTGGCGCTATGTTTTTCTTTTTTTTTTATTCTGCGGCCATGTACTAAGAGTTGTTTCGGTGAAGCGGGAGCGATGAAGTCTGGGAGAGAATCGAATACTTTTTTTTTTTTATTATAAACCCCAATGGCTTGACTAATATTCTGATGAATCCATATCGTGGGATTATGCATAACTGAGAGATTGTGCTGGGCTATATTATTGCCTATTCTTTTATCTATTGCTCGGTACAATCTCACAATCCCCATCCCCTTTTCCACAATAGAACCCTCACAAACCCACCAAACTCGAATGGCAAGCAAGGAAGAAAAGAACGCCAGATACCAGTACACGAGCTTAAGTATGAATAACCCCATCGCGCCAAACCCTGTTGACCCTCCGCCATGATGAGGACACACTCTCTACTCGTGAAGTAGTGTTGAGTATCTCATGATCGCAACACTAGACGGCGAAGCGCTCAGTCTAAGGAACATCGTGCACAACTTGTACTGCCAGGTGTGAGCGCTATGGGTGCCGCCTCGCTGGCTGAGCGTCGGCGAACAGAAGTGACTTGGCTAGATAAAATATATGCCGCGCGGGTGGGCTGGCCAGTGGTGTCTGAGAAGCGAAATGAGGATCCTGGGTACGGAGCATATGGCGTGGTGGACGCCGCTGGACGTAGACGCCCCCGGCGGTTATTTCTTTCCCCTTTTAGTCTCGTGTTATGTTTCCTTCATGGTAAATCACTCGCGTCATCTGCAGCTAGTCTACTTTCAGCCGCATGGGAGAAATACATGGTGGATGTTGGGTACTGATGGAATAGTGGTGAATTGGTTACAGTTGCAACTCGATATGCCGGATTGCCAAGATTCTAAGGATTTCGTACGGGATAGCAAAAAATCCGGGATAGCAAATTAATTTTACAGTAGGAAAAATAATATTCTCAGAGGATCTCGTACGGGACAGCAAGGGATCCGGTGTATTGAGTTCCGGCATATCGAGTTGCGACTGTAGTAGTCTTGCGCTATGACTCAAATGGTTGCGAATTGAGCGCTTCGTTTGTGAATAGCTATACTGGATGAAAGTGTTTATCCTCAGCGCGAAGACCTCTCTGCTCAGTTTAAAAGATCCAGGGTCGTCATAGCAACCGAGTCTCTGGAATTTGTATCCGGAGCCATCTACGCTGTAGTCATCAACCGGGTTATCCTGCTTGCAATTGGTCAAGCTACCTGTACCTGTATCTATGACAGAGGCTTCCATATAGTAGTGATTTTTCAATGGCTTATGAGAGCAGTGATGTTCCCTATGGTAAATACGATAGGCCAATTGATCGTGATAATGGAAGGGTTGTTCGCCAGTGGACCAAGGCACCTACTCCCCGCCAAGGATGCTCAATTTGTGACCATGTTTGTGCAGGGCGAACAAGGTAAGTCTTACTGTGATGACTCGAATAGGCTTGGTACGTCCCGTCTCTGGTTTTGTTTGGTTGCTGTACTGTGCTTACCATAATCTGTAGACTTAGTTTAATCATAGGATATCACTCGCACACCAATAACCCTCCTCCTACACTACCAACAGTGCTTATTAAGCAAGACCATAAGCCCTATACTCGCTAAGCCAGGCCCTGGCTAGATAATGCATATTTAATCTTCTTGAGTGGTGGCTCGGAGCCTATATCTGGCGCTCTTGATTCGATTCTTCTAAACATTTCAAAGTTAACGTCAGTTTGACAGGAAGCTGCATAGTGGAGTCACTATAGAGCTTCTGGATAATTGGCTCCTTCATTCTCCAGGGCTGCGTGTACATACCTTTCAACGGTCTCTGGTCTTCCACTGGTGGATTGTAATTGGTCAACGAGGCGGCCGGGCCGAACCAGTGTGGGTTTGCAGTTGGTGTGCCACAGCCTCATCTTTCTCATCGTCTTGACAGTCGCCGCCGAGTATAACTCATTGGCGGGGGAGCTGATCTGTTGGTTGATTTGGATGATGGCCGGAACGAAGCGTGGTCTAAGAGGCCGGCACAGCGGGGGTGTGAGTGGGGACAGGGAGGAGACCATCCTTTGGACCTTGGAGCCGACACCGTCCTAGAGCCGTACTCGCTATGCAAATTTCGTGGGGAAGGTGACGCTTTCAAGAGTACGTACACGCAGTCCTGCAGGCGGGGCTGTGGTAGTCCACGCGCACGTCGAGGCGAGATTCCTCTCAACTCCCACCGATTCAAGCCACCAGTCGAGATAGTGGACCGCCCAGCTCAGCTCCTGGAACACACCAGGTAGGGCTGGCATATCTTAACACCTTATGTCAAAGTCTCTTCTTCTGCAGAACTATATATGCCGGGCCTTCCAGCTGTTAGCGGGTATATTCACAGACTATCACTCGAAACACAAGGCGCTCCTTCTGATTCCCTGAACCCGACAGATCTTGCTGATTATATGTATGCAGCGGACCCGACAGAAGAAGAAGCATTACTCAAAAAGGCATCTGACCATGAGCCAGGCAGAAAACAAAAGCAAAAAAAGTGAATCATCTGCCATCCAGTTCTGAATCAAATCAAAATCAGTCAATCAATCATATCAGTCCTGCGACAACGATCGTCGCGACACTACCTCATGAGTGCATGTTATTCGAGTACCTACTCTACTGAGACTGGTAAGTCGCGTCTGCAGAATAATCCATAAGTGTAGAGTAGAGTAGAGTAGAGTGCAGGACCGTCGGTGCGTACATGTGTGCCGACGCGACTGCTACCTACATGTACATGGTGCAAGTCTTAGCTTTATCGACCTGACAAGGCTCGGGCCACCGGTGATAAGACAGCATGGCCTATTCACGGCATGGGTTTAAGGTTTGGTAGCAAGGCGGGGGACGGGATTGGTTTGCTGTTCCTTGGGCTCCCAGGCCAGGTTTAAATGCTACATGTATCCTTGTTGGCTACCAAAATCCAGATAGCTCTGCAGAAGCTGGCATATGGAAATCTGGCTCATTCAACTCTTGAACTCAGTAATCAGTTCTCAAAGCTTATGTGGCTCTATGAATCGAGGGTATTATCTACAATCTGAATAGATGATTACCTAGCCATGTTTGAAACAATTATCACAACTTAGCACTGAATAAGATGGCGAGTCGGGGGAATGCACCAAAAAGGATTCGATGTTCAAAAGTTGTTAATTAAGTCCCCCAAAACAAAGTGGGGGGAGAAGAAAGGTGAGAATAAAAAGATAAAAAAGAAACTAAATCCCCCATAATCATTCCATATCCGTTTCCCATGCCATCACTAACTATACATAATGCATATACAATGTATCCATTCAAGCATTTAAAGAGCCATGTATCCAATAAGACCCAACCCAGCAACCGCGAGTCCGCTCATTCCTCCAAGGCGGTTTGCAGCGTTGGTGGTCTGAACAGGGACTGAGGCTGAGGACGTGAGGTTTCCAGTTGCAGAGGCCGAAGGAACGGCGCTGGTGGTGAGGGTTGAGGAGCCGGAGGCAATGACGGTGGGGAATGACTCGACGGTGCCGCTGGATACAGGTGCTGCGGAGGATGAAACTGCTGCAGTGGTGGTGGCGGTGGCGGTGGCAGTGGTGGTGGCCGCAGCAGAGGAAGAGACTGCAGCAGACGAGCTAGCGGCAGAGGTAGCAGGAGTAGAGCCAGAGGCCGGGAAGGTGGTTGGAATGGTGACACCTGCGGCGGAGCAAAGGGCACCTGCAGCTGAAAGGGCTTCTAAAGAATCAAAGAGTATATGTTAGTATCTTATTTACTATTGGTTTATGAAATACATGGGAAGATATACTCTGCTGGTCCGCCTCTGGACAGGAACCTTGGATACATGTCGCTGATCCACTAACAAAAGCAGTATTGGAGCATGCACACTTGAAGTCAGTGATGCTACAGCTAGTAGCTGCGAGACCAGTAGTAAGACAGGTCAACTAGTAGACGATCATTAGAAAATGCAACATATTACGATCAGTGTGGTTTGTAAACACATACAGCACATGATGGCAAGTCAGAGAGACTCTGTGCGGAGACAGAGGCGACAAGACCAGCAATAGCGAGGACAAAGACAGACTTCATTTCGACTTTGGATCGTTGTTTTTCTTTGAAAAAAAAAGGTGAGGATTTGAATTCGAAACGCTGAACGAGAGTCGTTTTACGAAAGCGAATGTGTGAAGAGAAGAAAGACTGCTTTATCTTACTGCAAGAATGTAGTACTGATGAATGGTGAGGAAGGGAAAGAAAGAAAGGTGAGTTCCGTCGAGTCTTTATACACAGATGGATATACTGTATTAACGACTACCAGCCTCTCCAAAAAACTAACTCAGCTAGATGTATTTCTTCAATTACACTCGCTGATTGGAAGAAGGGTGCCAATTTTGCAGATCCTAGATCGTATCGATCCATGGCCATACATCTACCTTTGCCACACAAACTCAATACACCACGGAGCTCGAACGAAACATCACATCCCATGACATGTGAATCTACATGTATCCTACCTAGCTACATACCCAGGATGCTAGTACACTCCATAGTACAGCGCACACAGCCAGCGTACTATGTAGGTACTCTTCCATGTAACCAAGCCTGGTCAAGTTGTGTTAATTTATGTGGTGTCACAGATGATGGTTCTTTTGACAATTACCGAAGCTGGTTAACCGGATAAAAAGCTTAACAAACGCGCAGAGTAAATCTGGGGAAATCCGCTCCCCACAGCAGCTAGAGGCAGCTACCTACAGTATCGACAAGGGGTAACAACGGAACCCGCAACCGCAGTTTGAATACCGAGGTGGCACGTCGCTGGAAAGGGGCAAGTATTAACTTCAACGACATGTGAAGACCGCTACCGGTATGTTTTCCTCTCATCTTCAAACTCAAAGCCCTTTGACAATTGGAAACAGTCAATGTTTACAATAGCGCACATTAAATGAACCAAACCAGGGACAATGCTGATTGGGATTCTGTCCTCTTCCAATGAAGAACAGGCAGCCATTCAGTCGGATGTTTTAATTCCCTCAGCTGTCAGATTCTTGCTTTAACCACCATTAAACTTGTGGGCGCTGGCTTCTTTCGAAACAGATGGCCCGTCGGAGTTCAACACTGCCGAGCCAACCGGAAAGGAGCCATGGGATTGTCATTATCCCAATGTGGTATGCTAGCTGCAGATCATTCACTGAACCAGATAACCAGCTGCCTTCTCCAGCTCTTCGCTCGCTGGAGAATAACCACATATGTCTCCGGGTGATTAATGGCGCTACGATATTAATCCAAATTCGTATGATGTGGAAATAGCAGCTGCATTACGCAAGCAAGTAGAATAGTCTACACCAACAACACATCATCACCTTTAAAGGAGATAACTCCCCATTCTACCTATTGGGGGCGAACGTGAACAAAGCTCAAATTGATGATGATTCTGGACTTTTGGGTCATCGAGTAATTTGCATTTGTTAGGATAAGCAATTAATTATGTCTCCCCACCCAAATCTGAATTACACTAGGCCGCCGCCGCCGAATAGGTTGAAACGGGAGAGGACCTCAGAGCAGCTGAGTCTAATTCTACCTACTACAAACTTAAGCCTAAAGTAAAGTGCTTTGCAGCATTCTACCAACCTATTAGCTAGTTACGTAAAGAATATTTTCTAAAAATATCGTAAACGTTCAATGTTTTCGCCCCCCTAGCTACCCCTTTTGAGATGATTAATAAGTCCAGCCATTGATTCACCGCAGATCTAGATTTCTAGTATGTACTTTATGTAGCTAGCAGCACAAACGTCATTTGTTTCTTCACCCTGCATGGTGGGTGGCTGGCTGGGCGAATGGTGCTGTTCTGGGTTTCTTACCATGTCTAAATTGGTCTTCTCCGGAGCTTGAATCTTGCATGCAGTCTTCCTCAACGGTGTCTCGGCATGTGATGTTGTGGGTAAGTGCTTTTTTAGAGTACGATTCTCGGACACGCCGTACGTGCTCTATGTACCTACATACCAGGGACCCGTCCCATCCGTGTAAAATCATGGCATATATACTAGTCGGGGAGGTAATGGCTAAAGGTCATCAAATTGTGATGGTACATAATTCACATGCAATTATGGTATTTGTGCTTGCCAGAAATGCCGAAAATTCTCTCAGCATGGGTACCTACGTGTTCAATGCCTCAGAAACCGGTATTGAAGCAAAGTAGAATGTGACAACCGCACTTGAACTATTGTACTAGGTAGGTGACACCGCAGACATGATTGAGTTTTGTGTTGGTGGGTTAGCTCTCCTTCCCCATATTAGACGAGGAAGTTATTGCATACAGTATTTGACTCCCGCGAGAATTGACAAGCGAGATTAAGGTACTGGGGGAAGATTTGAAACTTCCGGAACTCTTTAAACGTCACTCAAGTATGGAGATCTGGGACTTGGAGGTTGAGGTGAGATTCGAGTGATATCTGATGATTTAATTGTATTAACAGTGGCTCCTCAGGTCTAATATCTCATCGATCATCAACATTACTACAGTTCGTTCCTCCACGGGATTCCCGCCATTGCTCCTCTCTTTCGCACCTTCCTCCCCGCCGCAACCCCAGCCCACTTGACCGCCTCTTCAACACTCTTGCCCTCAACAATTGCAACCGCAAAGGCGCCAACAAATGTGTCTCCCGCACCCGTGGTATCAACCACATCCTTTGGCTCCATCACCTCAGGCTTCATCCACCCGCCCTTCCCATCCACAGTACTAAAATACCCTCCCTTCGCACCCAGAGTGATCACAACACTCCCCTTCACACCCCTCTCCAAAAGAGTCTTAGCCGCAGCTTCCACATCCAGCTCCTCGACCTCCTCCCCAGTGAGAAGGGCAGCCTCGGTCTCGTTGACGATCAGGTGGTCCATCTTTGGGTAGAAGTTGACGGGTATAGGCACTGCGGGAGCCGGGTTGAAGATGGTTGTTATTCCGGCTGCGTCGGCGAGATTGAGCAGATGAAGAACGGTCTGTAGCGGGATCTCGAGCTGTATTAGGAGCGCGGATATGGGCGGGTTCATGGATGTGAAATAGGTATCTGGAAAGAGGTCTTTTGTGACCTTTGCGTTTGCGCCGAGGTTTATGAGGATGCGGTTTTCCGCGGTGGCTTCGTCGACCTGGTATCCACAGGCGCATTAGCATTAAGCACCGTAAAAAGCACACTCTCTACCCCCCAAATAGGAGAGGGGGTGGGGGGGACCCACGATGATGATCGCCGTCCCGCTTTTCTCCACCTCATCCACAACCACACCCTCCACATCCACCCCACTGTCCACCAGCGCCTTCTTCATATCCCGCCCAAACTCGTCGCCCCCCACACACCCTACCATCTTGACCACCACGCCGTCGCCGGAGAGTCGCGCAGCGGCCGCAGCCTGGTTCGCGCCCTTGCCGCCGGGAGCGGTGTTGAATGACTTTGCGGTGAGGGTTTCGCCAGGTGCGGGGAGGCGCCGCGTCCGCGTGACGAGGTCGGTGTTGAGGGAGCCAATTATGGTGATGGTTTGGGGACTCATTTTTTTTTTGTTTGGGAGGGTTTGGAGTTTGTGCGGGGGGAGTTGGGGGAAGTTAGGTGATGATGCGCGGGGTGGTATTGATATAGGAGTGAGTGGGTTTGGAGGTTGGTGAGCTCGTGATGGGGTTGGGCTTTGGTCTGACGTAGGAGGCGCTGGATGGAGTGCGGCGTTCGCCGATGCAGGGTCTGACCGGTGGTGGGTTGGCCCTAACCCTGGGGAAATAACTCATTTGAACTATAGATAGACCTATTTGAATTTACAGGTAGAGACCGGCTTGAGGGGGTTTGGTCAATTTGGAAAGCTTTGTGGTTGATTTTGGGTTGCTAATAGTTGTTGTGAGGTCTTGGCGTATTCTCAGTAATAGGTATTCGGATCATTGACTGTAGTCACTGGAGGTTTCAATTGCTTTGTCATTCAATAGGTTTGGTCTAGGGTTTTATATTTAGGTATAATACTTGGTTTGAATATTTATATAAAAATAGTCTCCCGGGGGTCTATTATCTTCAATACTACATGTAGTACGTCCATTTCTGTTCTCTTTCCAATACACGCTATCTCGTCTTCATTAGCGGCGGCGACATGTTTAATACCAGAACGCTCATCTGCCGCCGGTAAATGACCATATAGAAACCACTATCGTCCCAGACTTTACCCCGGACGTGATACTCTAACTGTCTCTTAATACTGCGACCCGTGCATGCAATTGAATACCACCATTGTCATAGTAATCAATACTAGTACAAGGTCAAGGCCACTAGGTACCTACCTTCTTTCCCTCCAAACCCGACACAATCAATGAATTGTCAATCAATCAATCCCTCCAAACCTGTGATATATTCGACTACGTCGAAAGTCTAGTAAAGTTAAAACAAGGTTCACAGAAGAAGAAGAAAGCCGGGAGAGCTGGAGCATTTGATAAAGGTAGAAATTGAGCTCTGTTGATTGTACCACTAGTGTTTGTATTAATATTTGTATTCTACATACACTTGAAACTAACTACAAGCTCGTGAAATGGGATCTTGGGCCGGGGATATATGTGTAAAGCCGTCTCGAAGAAGTGAAATGTTGGATGTACGTACGTGTGTAAAAGGTTTTTCTAGCTAGCTAAGTATTTGTAATTATGGCCGAACTGAATTTAAGAGTACAGTCATCGTGGGTTTTGGTGTGAATATGAAGGCGTGTGGGCTGTATACAGCTTCTCCTTAGCTATAGCTAACTGTGGGTCGACAGTGGTACCTACAATGGGGTAGCTCAAAAACCTAATTGATATAGTCACTGATCGATAATTGTGATTATGGAATTATACAAATTAAACTCTAGATATAGATCATCTAGCTAGCGTAAGGTGCTTGATATTGTTTCATACTACTGCACAAAAGAAGAAAAAAGTAGATAGCCCTGGCTAGTGATCAAATTTAAGTTATTCTAGAAAGACGTACTACATATAATCTCGGAGATTGCCCATAATTTTACTGTCCGTAGATCGATCGAGCGCGAGCTTGAGAGTGATACTTGAGAATCTGCCGGCGCCAAGATGTACAAAACCCTAAAACTCCGAAACATTAGAAATTGTTTACAAAGTGTCAATTCTGATAATTGTCACTCTGGATCTGACGGCTACGAGCGTCAGGGTTTGAAATTTTCCTCCGGGTCGGACATGGAAAGCTACTTCTACAATTTACGCCGGTGTTGTGGGATACGCTGGCGTGATACAAAATACGCATCATGCTTTGAGCGCGAGTGATAATCTGTGAAGATACAACGTTAGCAAGCGGCGTCCTATTCTACTGGTCTACTCGCACGTACCCGGTTCGGTTGGGATCTTCAAGTAGTCGGTGGAAGATAGACGAACGTACTGCGTCCTGCTACATACGGCCATCTTTCTATGTACATGTCACGAAACTACAAGGGCAAAAAAGAAGATTAAATAAATAAATGGATAAAAAATAAAAATCCAAGTAAACGAAATAAACGAAATTAAAAATACAAAGTTAAAATTACATATATTTATACAAAAAAAATGGAAAATAAAAAAATTAATATTAAAATGAATAAAAATACAAAATTAACGAAAATAAACAAAAAAAAAAATGATAAATAAAAAAACAGAAGAAAAGAACATGCAGAAGGGAGGAGACCGGCAGAGGGAAGAAAATAGAGAAAGGGAGGAAAAGGGGAAAGCTAGGGAGAGGCCCGGGGAGGGAGGGAAGAGGAAGACCAGGAGGAGGAAGACAGGAAAAGTCCCTCTTGACCCCTCGGATTCACCCAGGAGTCAATAGGGGCTGCGTCCCCTCCGTGAGGAGGAGACAGAAAGAGCAAGGGGAGAGAGGAAGGGTTCGGTTGAGGTGACCACGCCTCAGCCCTCCCACCACCACAGCTTTCCCAAGGCTGTGGATTCCGTGGGAGGTCAGGGGTGGCCGGTGTTGAGATCGTCTTCGGGTGCCCGGGAGAGCATGCCCCAACCGGTGCTGTGCTCTCTCCTTTGCCCTAGGACCCGGGACCTGCTGGGTTGTCGTAGTCTCCGCGGGGGAGATCATCGGCCGTGTATATGGTGAAGGGAGAAGGAGTGAGAGGGCAAACGGGCTTTTATAGTCATAAGGAAAACGCCAACGATAGCAGCCAAGGACATCAGCCAAGCAGCTACGAGAATGAGAATTGATGAGTTGGGGCTGGGCCTGGAGTCTTTTGATTTACCGCAGTCTTTTGACTTGCCTAGAGCGAAATCTCTTGGCGCGCAGGATATTTTGTTAGAGCTATTCTGTAAATTCGATATCGACTTTGAGTTCATCTGTATCCAATTGCAACATTCCGTGGATCTCACTATAAACTAACCAAGCGGATGTCTGGCGTGGGCTGTGGTATCGGGGACCGAGAACCGAATAACTTCTCGCATGCATGCAGCTTGCCTTTTAGCTCCAAGGATCTGATAAGATCTAGGGGCCGCCATGATATATCCAATCTTCCTGAGCCACTGTTTTATCAGGATTTCCGTTCCTAGACGTAAGTTTACACAATTTATATCTAGTTTGACAATTGGTGGGATATATACACAGCTAGGTGTCTGTAATATGATATTCTTTCAATTGATACAGCGGAAACAGTCATAGTTAACTCTTTCCTCCCAAAATCTCTAACTGTGTATCCACAAAACCTTCAACTTCAAGTGCTCCGTAGTGACAGCTTGAACACTTGCCGTAGTGTGGCACTGTGGGACAACAACGTGGCTTTCTGACGTTGGTGTTGTGACAAAGGCTATGCTGACATAATTATATCTAGATTACTTATATTGGGTTTGGTCTCCCTATTGTTCCTCTCGACCGGTTCTTCCTGTATTTCCGCAATGCCTGGACCTTCGTATAGCGAGTAGCTATGTTGTTATAATACCGCCGGACAAAGCATGAAGCCATATCAAGGTACTTTAGAGAGGCAGCACCGGTATCGAGCTTGCACTTGACTGTACCTGCTATTACGCACACTTGGAGCGACACGGTCTTTTGGAATTGATGTTACACTCCGGTACCGAGCATACATGAAGTAGAGTATTCGTGGCGGTGTGAAATTACTAACGTCACGTTCTATCAGGACACCTCAGTAGATACACCCGCTTCCGTCATGAGCCATCACTCGGAGAAACCCGCACCACTTAATTAATTAATTGATTAATTACTTCATTAACCCGCACCACTTGGGGTGAGTGCGGCCCATGAGATATCATAAAAGAGAATGTTTACCGTAGTTCTATACTCCTAAGACATTTTCTTGCGTGGATCGTGTGTCCTGTTGTTTGTTTCGTTCTTTGTTTGACCTGGTCATTGTTAAACGGTCGAGGTCAAACAAAGAGAAGTAAATGATAGAGAAATCATTCCGAATGGCATTATACTGATATACTGCTTAGAGAATCTATGATACCTATTAGAGTCTAACTGATCCTATCGTGGAACATGGAGTTCAGTAAATATCTAAAGTTGCTTTCTTTGTTAGTCTCCTAGATAAGTACTGACACGGGACCAGCTTCTCATGCAAGTTTCCCTTCGAATCGTGCGCAATTAACAGCCAAAATACTCTATAGCTATTGACTCTATTTACCAGTGACAATGTCAAAAGAACTAAGTGCAGGTGCTACTCCGGCTGACTCCCCGTCCCCGTCCCCCCACCCAGAGGCGGCAGCTGCCCCCGCCCCTACCCAAACGGAAAAGCCCCCCACAACCCAAACCAAGCCCAAGCGCACCAAAACCACCAGCACCCCGCAGACCACGGGCCTCCGCGCCCCCCGCACAACCCCAACCACCATCGGACCCCGCCAACCCAGCATCCACAACACCCGCGCCACCGCCCGCAAAGTCGAGTCCACCACCCGCGTCTCCCGCAGTGGGGGCGGCAGCAGCGGCGGCCCATTAGTCTTCTCCCTCTCGCGTGACGCCGCCGGCATGTCGTCCGAGGAGATTGTCCGCGAGATTGGCGGCCGCATCGCACTCGCCGAGAGCGAGAACATATTTGACCGCAAGGGCGGGAGCACCAGTCTCTTTGACCCCGCGCAGAAGGCACTCGACGACGAGCGCAAACAGGTCAGAAAGAAGCGCTCTGGGAAGAAAAACGGGACCGGTCCTTCTGCGGCGGCAAACACTAGTGAGGTGGCGGCGAGCGAGAAGAAGAAAAAGAAGAAGAAGAAGAGCAGCGGAAGGTGGCTGGAGAAGAAGCCGGGCGAGACGCCAGAGAAGACGTATAGCAGCTCTCCCAGTAACTGGGAGGGGACGCTGCACGGGACACCGACAAAGTCGACGGTGAGGGGGGATGAGGCTAAGTGGATGGCTCCGGCGCCAGAGCTGGCTTTTAAGCGTGACCAGGACGGGACGCCCACAAAGGGGTCGAAGCGGAAGAATAAGGGCAAGAAGCTGCTAGGGCAGATGGAGTACCCGCTACCGCCGGGGTGGTGGAACGTGCTCAAAATGACGGATAATCAGCGGGAACTTGTGAGTATATCATCTAGATCATTCCCGGGAATTGCGTCGTCAATAATATAAAAGTGTTGTTACTGACCCTGGAAATGATCGTTTTAACAGTATATACAACTCTTTGAAGACTCAGCCGAGATGACAGAGGAAAGTCAGTATCAGCTCTGGAACACTGCACTAGACATCGTGTACCTCGCTGGCGAAGAGGAGGGGACGTGGGGCGCTGATCCACAGAGGGAGAAGAAGCTCTCGAACTGGCGCGCGGAAATGATCTACAAGCATGATTTGACCATCCCACCACCAATCTCGTGGAATCAGAAGCAGCTGGCAGTGGAGCCGCGCCCAACTGACGAGGAGCGACGGGAGTACACGAAGAACTTCCACACGATGTACAATAACTCTTACTTCTGGCGCATTCTAGACCAGGCGTGGGATAAGGAGTGCCTTGATAAATGCCTTGAGGCGAACCACGCTATCTGGGAACTCAAGTTGAAATATAGGGACTTTCCTTGTATGTCTTGACTTGTTTCTACTAACAACTAAAGGAATTACTCGTGCTGACACTAGTGCCTACTATAGGGTTCTGTCTTCCGTTGCCCAGTGAGAAGTGGAGGACCCATACGAGCCAATACATCCCAAAGCCTTCAAAGAACTACTGTCAGTGGGTCGTTGGACTGCTTGATTTCGGCCTGATGAACTTTGGCGACGCAGAGCAAATTAGAGTCCCAGACTTCCAGCCTGCGGAGCGAGAGGGCGCCTTTGAAGATTCTTGTCACAGAGCATGGCTAGCCAACGCGGAATATCTACCCGAAGGCACAACCAACCCTCTAGATGTTGAGTCGGACGAAGATAGTGATGCGACTAACCGTTCTGACACGCCGCCATCACCAGAACCATCTCTCTCGCCAGAACCGGAGCTCGAAATTGTGGAGGATAATTATTACAACGGCCCCGCCCTAGAATCGCAGGACTCGGACTCGGATGATGTTACGACGGACGAAAGTGAGGCAGCAGAGGAGAATGGCGAAGCAGAGAAGGAAGATGATGAAGAAGCTGTTGAGGAAACGAGACAGGTGGGACTTAAGTCTAAGAGGGGAACCGAAAAACCAACAAGTGCTGGGAAGAGAACCAAAGTCAGTAATTAGTGGATGTACAGTCAGTCGTTGAAGAATGTAATGTAGTTAGTCTTTAGTAGCTAGAATGATCCAAGAAATATCTATCAATTTTAAAGATAAACCATGGGTCTCGGGTGTTCCTGCTCTAGAGCTAGCTTATCAACCAATTTTTAATTATCACTCTTATCACAGAGGTGAAATGTAGTTAGACCAGACAGTGACATGGTGCTGTGATATATTTCACGTTGGGAAACGCATTACCCGAATTAATCGTTGAGCGATCAGCCAATGATTTAGAACGGCAACCCAAGTCCCGCAGTTGTGTGATCTGATAACCTCTTCCTTGTCACTGATTAGACGCACTTCTGGGGGTATGGTTAACCTGGGGGTATGACCAACCCCTCACAAAATCGAAAACTACTTCAACAAAACAGCACACTTGGTGAATCCTGACAATTAAAAACGGTTCTCATATTCTTGTAAAGAATAGAAGAGCTCCCCCTCATCTAGGGTTAGGGATATTTGAGCAGGATTTGCAAGAAAATCTGCCAGACTGCAGCTGAGTTAAATCCTCCTCTAGCTCTTAGCGTCCGGTCCTGAAAACAGACGAAGGGATGGTGCTCACGGGGGTATGGTGCTCACGGGGGTATGGTGCAACAACTGATAACGTCAAAAATGAGGACGGAATATATGAAGGATATCTATCACCAAACAAAGCATAGATGCAATTCTCTAGGCTTCTGCTGTCGACTTTCTTAATTCCGTCGATTGCTTCTTGCAATCAAGGAAAGCACCATACCCCCGCGAAGGCGTCTAGATAGTGCAATCCAATTCGAGATAGCTATAGCCGGAGGAGCACGTGCAAGATCGAGAATATATGCGAATATAAAAAGGTACGCTTATCCAGCGGCCAAACCGTGTAGAGTACCGGTACATACAGTACAGGTGGCAGAAGATTTTAACTATTGGGCTTCAGCGCTCCCATAGGCTGGTTGCATGGGTTATGCATATGTACATCGACGACGACATGCGTTTTGCAGGTTCGCCCAACCAGCGGTCTGGTATCTACTCCACATCGTGATCCGGTCGTTATTTAAACAAGCGGGGAGTGTTTTTTTTTTTTTTTTTTTTTTTTTTTGACATGTGAAAGGTACACATACCACCCACGTAGGTACGTCATGTAGAAGAGGATCGAGGAACGTCCAGTTTTTAACGGATCTGGAGGAGAGAATTGGCATCGTAATTGAAGGGTGTCAGATCAATCTTCGTTTGCAAAAGGGCTTTATGCATGTGGTATGTGGTGTTCCGAGTCATGGCAGATCACTCATGCCCCCCCGCAAGCCTAAGAAGAGCTAGAGGCCAGGGTTCAAGGGTCAGGTTAGGACCCCTCCTCACTAGCCCCATATCGATAAGTTATCGTGCTGAAATCTACACGCGAGTTGTACATACACACAACCCCAGTCTCGTTCCTTTTTGTAAGTTCCTTGTTGAACAGTCTCGATCTGGACACAAGACTAGGAGCTACCCCGGGCGAGTAATCCCCCACACGAGTGCTGGATTCTATGCAGACATGAGATACCCTGAGCACAATAATAGTCATGCCCGAGAATCCGAAAAACCCCCATGGCAACCGATCCCCATATTGAAATCCTGTCTTTGCATGAAAGTGTGTGCATCTGGGCCAGCAGCAGCAGCAGCAGCAGCCAGCGCAGCCTTAAAGCAAAGCACGATTAATAACGCAGAATCTCCATGCTACGAAAAAGACCAGGAACCGTGGGTAGGTAGGTACAGTTCATAAACAGGTAAGTAGTTAGCTTTTGTGGGTACTGTATGTATATATATACCTTGCATGCTCCATGGTTAAACCGGTCCAGAGAGTTAAATAAAACGACCCTTATCGGTATTGTTGGTGACAATATTTCCCACGTGAAATCCCCAACGGAATTTCTGAAACAACGTGGCAAAACACTTTCCAGAACACCACCCTGCACGGAAGTCTGCATTTATCTGAGGGGCGCGCGCGGGTGGGGGGAAGCTAGGAAAGGTGGAGAAGAGGGGGACCGAACAAAACCCCTTCCTTTACATAAAATCTCCGGTGCCACATTTTTTTCTTCCTCTTTAACTTGCTTAGGGAACGGTCTGTCATGACAGAAGCAACCCGTTACCAAGATGTCTGAAACCGGCGATACAGCAACCTCATCTACCTCCTCAGCTCTTATCACCCCACTACATGCAGCAGCCTCGGGTCCGACTCTTCTCCCGGGTCCAGTCGCATCGCTCGTCTCGGTGGTGTCGAAGTCTGCGTCGGTTTCAATCCGGCTTGGTTCATTTGTGGGGGGAGCTGCTCTTGCCGGCGCACGTATAGGGACCCTGACCGGGTTGGAGCTTGGGAGGGCTGCGATCGAAGGCATCCTCCATAGGGCGGGACATGACGTTAATTCTAGAAGACTTGTTGGCGGGAACCATGTGAATGGATGGACCGAGACTGGTGTGAGTGATCAGCCACTGCACTAGACTTGCCTATGATCCAGTGCAAGCTTGCGCTTGTGTCGGAAACTCCTTTATTGATGGTGATTGACATGCCGTGCAGATAAATATACTCCGCTCTTCAATATCCCTAACCCAGCTTCTACTCTCAACCGGCTTCGAAATATCCTCGACTACACTGAGCACCCTCAGCTCATTCGCTGAAACTTATGTCCTCACGCTCGACTCGATATTCGGCTCAACCGAGTCCTCACGCGCCATCTCGGCAATCGTGACCTTGATGCGCAAGGAGTTCGACGAGAACTCTGAAGGCGAGGGCCGAATAGGGGCTGCGGATCTGGTGATCGGCCTGACCTGCTTTGCAGTCTTGCAGGTGAAAACAAGGGCGAGGCGCGATAGTGAGATAGAGACTGAGCTTGTTTGGGATGTGGTTGTGGACGAGGTGGAAAAGAAAGTTGATATCACATTGGGGCGGAATCGGGACTTTTCTGGGGAAACTGAATCCGTTACATCATTTTTCGATAATGAGGAAATGGATTCGGTTTCGGTATATAACGGTCATGAAGACGAAGATGAGATTGGAAGTGGATTGCCACCCATGTTTTTTGCAAGATTACCTCCGTGAGTGTGAATTTCTTCGCAAGTGAATATGAATAAGATGCCTAATACCCACTGTAGATCTGCAGATATATCCATTACAACTTCATCTACGACCACAAAGACTACAACCGTTGAAGTCACAGGAACAGAGCCTCCAGATTTCACTCCACCAGAAGGAGCAGTTATAATCTCCGAAAGTCACCAAGATGGCAGTAGACCTCGATACAAGATTGTATATGAGACTATCACAAATAAGATGGAAAACAAACGAGTGAAAAGAGAAGATGGGGAGTTTGTCGACTCGGAGGATGTAGTTAGAGATAGTGGGAGGGTCGTTGAGGAAATACCATCAGACTCGTCATCATCAACACTGATTGAAATTCCAAGAAGAAAGCCAACTCGTCGCATATCTTCGAAGGATAATGACCTGCCCACGACCTCAAAAGATTCCAAAAAGCATCGATCAAAAGCTGAACCGATTGAGGCGAACTCACGAAAACGACTCTCCTCTCACGGTGGAACTTCAGAGAAACACCGAGGTGAGAAGCACAAGCTGCGAGAATCTGATGCCGACAGAGAGAAGAGGCACAAGCTGCGAGAATCTGATGCCGACAGAGAGAAGAGGCACAAGCTGCGAGAATCCGATGCTGACAGAGAGAAGAGGCACAAGCTGCGAGAATCTGATGCCGACAGAGAGAAGAGGCACAAGCTGCGAGAATCTGATGCCGACAGAGAGAAGAGGCACAAAGAGAAGAAGAGGGAGAAAGAGAAAGGAAAGGAAAAGACGGAGAAGAGAAGAAGGAGTGAAACTTTGTCAGAGGCTCTAGTACCCACTGTCAAGAGAAAGAATGGGCTGGAATCACTCGCGGCCTCCCCTAGAAGTGGTGGACGACATACAAGATCTGCTACAGAGCCCCCGTTTTCGCCGAACCTCAGGGGCCCTAGTAGACCCACATCTCCTGAGGCGAGACCGTTCCACAGAAGCAGTTCACGAACGAGGATGTTTCATCAATCATCATCTATTTCGGGGAGGTCTGAGTTCCATTCAGCTTCCGCGTATTCTCAAACCGCAAACGTTGAATCATTAGATTCCTATTTGCCGCATAGCCAGCACGTGCGAGGATCTCCTTCAATTTACACTATTAGATCCTCCCATTCTCAAACTTCTCTTCTTCTAGAATCGTATATCCCCCATCCCGATGAAGTATTCCCAAACGCCCCCATCTGCATCAACTTTTCAAAATACATGCGGTTCGCAGCAGCCTCGTATGGCCAAAACTTTATGCGATTCCTGGGGCTTGGGTCAACCCCAATCCTCCCACCCGCATCTACGCACCACGCGGAGCACCATGCCTTTTCGCACCACACAGAACTCCCACTCGACACCATCCTTCTGAGTTCGTTCGTAGATCCCGGAGGCGGATATGACGCAGAGGGAAATGTAAATAGCGGTATTCCACTTGTCCATTTTGTGGCCGTGGATCACCCCTCGAAAGCTATCGTCGTCACCTGTAGAGGCACCCTTGGCCTGGAAGATGTATTGACAGATCTCACATGCGAGTACCACGACCTGAATCTTCGGGGGATCAAATACAGAGTACATAAAGGCATGCTCAACTCCGCCCTTCTACTACTCAGGAAGAAGTCCCGATTGCTGGTGGTCGTCCAAGCCGCACTGGAGGAGTACCGCGAGTATGGACTTGTCTTTACTGGCCACTCTCTCGGCGGCGGAGTAGCAGCGATAATTGCGATGCTGCTATCCTCGCCTTGTAACGGCACATTCATAACTAGCAACGCTGCCGCCACCCTGACGGACGGTGTCCGAATTCCTGAGGGCCGAAAGATCCACTGTTATTCATACGGCACACCGGCATGCGTATCGGAGGAACTTCGGCGCGCAACTCGAACTCTCATCACTACCGTCGTCCACGGCAGGGATATAGTACCATCTCTGTCATTCGGAATTATTCGCGACTTCTGGACAGTTGCGGTTGCGTTCAAGGAGGACAACAAGGGCGCGAAGGCGGAGATCAGAAGGAGGATCATTGATGGCCTGAGTAGAGGAAACCTAGGGGGATCTCTCGACCATGATGATTGGGCGTTTGCGGTTATGAAAACTTTGCGGGCGGCTATGAGGGCAGAGAAGTTGGTTCCGCCGGGAGAGGTGTGGAATGTGGTGACGGAGAAGGTATATAGAGAGGGGGATGATGGGCCTATAGGGGTGACGGGGAAACTTAGAGTTAAGGCGTTTGTCATTAGAGATGTAAAGAAGAGATTTCAGGAGATTGGTTTTGGGAGCGGGATGATGGCGGATCATAGTCCGTATTGTTACGAGATGGCATTGGATGCCTTGAGGAGGGGAATGGAGCAATGAGGATTGGGTGGGCCCAAATACGATGGCAAATACTCTTTATATACCTGATAAGGTGGTTTATTCGATTCAGGGACGGTCATAGATATTTCTTTTGGGCATTGTTTACACGGTGGGTATCCTATATAGCTAGAACTGGTTTCGCCGCGGTTGGGTTATCTTCTAGAAATATACCGTTCAACTTTACTCAATGTACCTCCAGTTACCTTTTTATAAACTTTATCTTTAGTATTATAGTTTTAGACGTTTTAATTTACATCTTCTGTCTCCATCATAAACAAGTTGTGTTGATCATTCGGGTATTTCCCTATTTAAGCATCCAACCGCAATTGATCTAAAAAAAGACTGGGTTAATATTCTGCGCTGTATAGTTTTCATTGCTGGTTAGGGGATACAAACCTAATAATTCATCAATTTGGCCCAGCAAAGAATCGTACATCAAACCTGCCTCGGTATTGAGATTCTTGCCTTCATCAGCCAATTCTCCTGGCTGGGGCTTCTCCTGTCTATTTTCGGGATTTATTTCGCGATTCATATTCTCTTTATCTTTTGCGTCGTCATTTAGACCTCGACTTTCTGCCCCGTCCGTTCTTTTACTCTCCTCGCCCTCCCAAACTTCTCCACCCTCTGCATCCTCTTCATACATCTGCATGTCCTCCATACGCATGCGGAAACGTTCATTAAGATAATATCGAATATCATCGACAAGCTCAATCGTATCAGTTTCCTGCCGATTTTCGATTCTTTCCGCACTCTACGAAACATTAGCCCCATCCCTCCGTCACCTATCTCCAGACGCCCTACCTCTTGGATCAGATCCGCAAAGTTCTTGTCGTCAATAAAGAACTCCAATCTCTCTGCGATATATTTCGCACCAAACTCCTCGAGCCTATGGATCCTGGTCAACCAGCCCGCGCGAATAACATCATAGATACTGTACGGCAAGTCGTCCGTGTGACCTGCAGTACTGATAACCTGGGCGCAGCGAGTTTTCAATCGGTCAATGAACAGCTGGTCCGCGGCGAAGAGAGCATCGAGAGCTATGTCTAGTGGTATTTCTACTTTTTCGGAGTAGAAAAACGCCAATACAAGCTCAAGAACAGCGGGGGACATGTCCAGCGGGATGACCTGTAGCGGCTCATCGTCGCGGCTTTTTTGGCCTTCACGGAAAGGGGAGCTGAACATGATTGTGAAGAATTCAGAACGCAAGATTGCTTTGTGGACTAGGTAGATGACGGAACGCTTTAGGATGCGAGGGGCATCAGCATTGGCTTCATCTTCTTCGTTTTCGGAGCTCTCAAACTCGTCTGCCTGAAGCAAGATATCTGCAAACATCTCGTTATGTTTATCCACGCGGACATCCCCTGGTTTCTCTCCGGGGCCCAGCTCGATCTTTTGTCCAATGACAAACTTTTTAAACCATTCATCAAGGTTATCCTGCGCCTGCTTTACACTCTCACTTCTTTTCTGTCGTCGGACTCGTGGATCACCCGCAACAAGAACCAATTCCCACATCTCTGGAATTTCCAGGTGCCGACTGAGCTTCTCGACCCCTAGTAGCACATCTTGCGGCGCTGACTCCATTACTTCACCGAGATACATGTATCGCACTGCGATATCAAATGCGCGTGCATCAAACGAGTTCGCCAACCTGATCTTAGTCTGCTGTTGTAGCTTTCGTTGGAAATAGGGAGAGCGGGCGGCCAGCAGGAATTTGTGCAACTTGAACTCTTTGATTACTGCCGAAGAACTTGATGTCGCGAGGATTGTCACATCCGTTACGTCGATTTCAGGCCGATAGAGCAGTGAAGTTATTCCTGCCGCCCATGGCTGGGCAGGGTCAAGGCTTTTCGAGTACTAAACGGCATAAGTTTCCTAAGCACCCAAAAATGGGAGTGCAGACATACATCGTATTGTAACAATAAGTTTCGGATGCGATCATTTAATGCGTTATAGAGAATCCTTTCACCTTGAAACGTATCTCGCTCACATATAGCTCCACTTTCAAGTAACAGTTGCGCAACCTCGTAGTGGCCGCATAGACTAGCCTTGTCCAAAAACACATCTTCAGTCAGCCATTGGTTTGGTAGCTTCCAACCCAAATAGGTCTTAAGGAGATTACCAAAGTGAGCGGTAAGTAATCATAAGCATCGACTGCATTCAAATTGACATTACCGAATGCGATGATGGACTGGACTGTCTTGACATCCCCGCGTCTACACGCCTCGCATCTATTACAATGGTTTAATATCTTCCCAAGAGACTTTGCCGCCACCAATTATAGCTATGGGAAGACTTACAATTGCTGAAAAGTCTCACTTTCATCAAGTGGATTCTCTTGGGGGCCACCGTGTTCCTCCGCGCGTTCGTGGGCAAGCTGAGCAATTAATGCTGTCTTTGAGGGATTCGCAACTTCGTCTATTGTAACCATTTTTGCTTGCCTAGAGTGTGTATTTGCTAGGAATTAAGCTTAGTTAAGTATAAATTCTCTATTTCCACGTTCGTGTAAATAGATTTATAATCTCTCGGCCTTTCTGCGGAGTTTAGGAAAAGCGATGAAATGTGACAGCCTGTAAATCCCGAACAACCTAAAAGCTTAGATGGCTGAAACAACCCGAAACCACAAAACCAAATAACTCCAGAGCAATTGAGGCGAGGATTGATGATGGTACAAGAGTAGGCAACTGTTAATGTACTAATGCCGCCACCGTTTGGGGGTGCGGACTTATCTTATCGCAGTGTTGTTACCCGGAATTAACCTCATAGCTCCTGCTTCTTGCGCTACTGAACACTGAGTGATTTCTGATGACTTAATTTCTCATAGACGAAATTAATTCTTGATGATATATATAGACCTAGTTGTTGCCCACGGTCGGTCGACCGGAGATCGAGAGGAAATGGCCGTATCGGGCTACCGCCACCCTGATCGAGGGTAACACCAGGGATGATATGGTAGAACTACAAGACGACAACATATGGTCTCAAGCTGCTTATAAAAGTACCGGCAAGAGCAGTCGTCTCGGTGGAACGGCTCTTGGACCGAAAGTTATAACCTAACGAGCATAATAACGGGAGAGGCCAGCTTCGTATGCATTTTCACCAAAAGATTAACGTCACCGTCGATATCCCCGAAAGGCTATTCCTCCGTTCAGCAGAGTTTTGGCGGGCGAAGGAGCTAGCTGGGAGGTCCGTTTGATGGAGTCCTATATACGTGTATGTATAGGACGGATATCAATTTCAGCTAAGCCTAGCTAGGGCTATTAAGAATCGCGGTAACCCTGGATATGTACATGAACTTTGCCCAGAAAGCTTAAAGGCATACTCTAGGGCGATTGGAAATGTGTATCCAGAATGTTCAGTAAAGTCGTCGGGAAAGCCGTTTTTTGAGCTTGGATTTACGTGGGTAATGTCAATATTTTGGTAGAGGGAAAGTCGTTTTAAGGGAAATTGGACGACTTTACAGACGATTTTTTAATAATTTACAAATGACTTTACCGACGACTTTACTGATGCCTTTACCGGTCACGCTTCTGTCATCCATTTCACATGGGGGGATAAGTTTTCGCAACCGGTGATGCTTCACGTGCACATGATTGACGAAGGCCATCACGAATGAAACGAATCATCACAGAGCGTCCTACTATTATTCCAGGAGTATCAAAGCAGAATAGCCTACATGTATATGCCAAACAATAGATCCATCAAAATTAAATTGTATTTCCCAACTGTTACAAGCCTATTGATACCAGATGCCATTTGATGACCCCACCGAAATATCTTGTTTGAGGACACAACTATCTCGAGATATAGAGAGGGCTTCATCGGAAAACATTGATTTTCCGGCGGAAAACAGGAAACACCGGAAAGCGTCAGTAAAGTCGTATTTTTTTGCATTTAACATGCCTTTAACAGGTAAAGGCATCAGTAAATTATAAAGTCGTCCATAGATCTGTAAAATCGTCGGTAACTAGAGACAGGAATACCTTTAACACAGAGCCGTGCGGTTAATGCATCAAATAATGCCTTTTACACGAACTTTTGTATGGGTAATGTCAAAATTGATGCATTTCCACTCCCCCTAGAGATATGCTTGAAGAGAAGATAGATAAACCGGCAGTGTTACATGTAATGATAGTTGCGAACTAGTAAACGTGACGATAGTACTCTTCATGTTGCCCTCATCAGTGACATTTCTACCTAGACGCATCGTTAAGTTCAAAGATTATATGATCAATCAAATTTTACGAAATACAACTCACCACATGTAATAGTATAAATCACGGGACGAGCCAGTGGCTCGAGATTCCCCTAAAACAAAAGATACATGTATTTGGTCGAATAGTCTAACCGGAGTACATACTTTAAATACCTAAGAAGCTTGAAAATGATGCCGTCTTTGGGCCAAAAAAGCATAGATCGCTTATTAAAGCTTCTATAAAAATCTATTAATCACGTTGTGGCGACTTAACATATCACTAGTACATGTAGTTGAAAACTGAATTCCTTCTCGGTGTTTTGAATGAAAAATATTACTGACACACTGAGATTCTTTGATCTTTGAAACAGGTTACTGGCTATGGATTAAGTAAGTGTCGTAATCTCCTTTGCTCAATCTTGTATATTTTCCATGATTTCACTCATCTTAACCGTATTTTTAGAACGAAAGTCTTGGACGCTGATATGGTATGTAATTGGGTGAACAGCGTAGGCGCCTATTACCGATTTAGCCGAGAGCGGCTACAAGCGCGCACAATAGATCAAATAGATAAAAAAAGGATCAGATAAAGGTGATGTGTCACCACTCGATGCCAAGCCACTAGCGCGCACAAGCTCCCAGCCACCATTTCATCTCCCACCACCTTACATCATCATCGCAACAACACCAACAACACATCATACAACCCCCTCTTCAACAACCTTATCCGCGATATGTCCCCGCACGCGAAACAACTGAGATACTTCAAGAGTCACCCTTTCCCTGAAGACTGGAGTATCTCCGAGTA